TATTCATTTATCTATTTTTTGGCGTTGTTTATCTTTTTTTAAAAATTCAATTTTTATAACTTTCTCGTTCTGTGACAAAATTGTTGACTCATTACCTACAGGTTGGTCCACCGCGGCGCTTTGATTGCTTCTGATTTATTCATTTATTCATTTGTCGTTTTATTTATTTATCTATTTATTTTTGTTGTTATCTTTAATATTACTACTTTTGTGTTCAGCGTAACAATTGTTGACTTATTTCCTACAGGTTTGTACACCGTGGCTTTTTGTTTGCTATTGATTTATTGATTTATCTTGTTTATTTATTCAATTATTTATTCGTTTATGTTGTTATATTTAATTCTTAGTACTATTGTGTTCGGTGATACACTTATTGACTCATTACCTACAGCTTTTTACACGGTGGCTCTTTGAGTACTACCGAACCCTCAAGTGCGTAGCTCTACCTGTTGAGTCATTAGCTACAGGTTTGTCCACCTCGGTTCTTTGATTGCGACTGATTTATTATTTTTTTGTATTTATTGTTTGTGTTGTTTTTTTATGTTTTTATATTCAATTTATATGACTTTTGCGTTCGGTGATACAATTATTAACTCATTACCTACAGGTTTGTACGCCGCATCTGTTTATTTTTTTATTTTTTTATTTATTGTTCCCGTTATTTATTTATGTTGCTATATTTTGTTTTTTAAAACACTTTCCCGTTCGGTGGTACAATTGTTGACTCATTACGTCCAGCCAGGTTTGTAGACCGCGGCTCTTTGACTGCGATTTAGCCATTAATTTGATTATTTATTCAATTATGTCTTTCTTTATTTTAGTTTAATTGATAAAGCCTTTATTATTTCCTAATACATAGCACTACCAGTTGAGTCATCATCTCCAGCTTTGTGGACAGTTGCTCTTTGATTGCTAGTGATTTATTCATTTAATTTTAAAACTTATTTTAGTTAATTATTTATGTTTTTATTTTATTTTTTTAAAACACGTTTGCGTTCGGTGACACAATTTTCTCCTCTTTACCTCCAGGTTTATAGACCGCGGCTCTTTGATAGTTAGTGCTTGGTTTATACATTTTCTTTTCTTTCTTTCTTCATTTATTGATTCCTTTGTATATTTATTTATTTATTTATTTATCTTAACGTCTAACTAATCGAGCCTTTATTACTCTCAGATGTGTAGCATTATCTGTTGAGTCAATGTGACCAGTTTTGTGGATCGTGGCTCTTTGCTTGCTAGTGACTTATACATTTAATTTAATCATTCAATGTTCCAGTCATTTACTTACGTTTTCTAAAAATTTATTTAATTCATATCCCTTTCGTGTTCGGGTATGCTATTGTTGAGTTGTTATGTCTAGATCTGTATACCGTAGCCCTTTGTTTGCTGGTGATTTATGATCATTTAATCATTCAATGTTCCAGTCATTTATTTATGGGGTTTTTTAAAATTTAATGTTAATTCATTTCCCTTTCGTGTTTGGTTATGCAATTGTTGAGTCTATATGATGATAGTCACCTGTTTTTGGAACCGTGGAGACTTTTAAAAAAAGCAAAGCACTCTGGAGAGTAACAACTAACGATGTAATCATTGTTTCAATTATCTATTTTTGTATTTAATTAACTAAACCTTACTTACTTTTACCTCCGTATTATTGCCTTAAAAACTTCTTTGAGTTATTTTGACACTTGTGATCAGGTTTATGAAGGGTAGATCTTAGATAGCGAGGGATTAATACATTTATTTATGTTTTTATTCAGTTATTATTATTGTATTTTTTAAAATCATTTAATTCATAAAAACCCTTCATCACTTGCGTACGCTAGTGACCAGGTATGTGGACTGTATCTCTTTGATCTAAAATGGTTTATACATTTATTAGCTCATTGTTTCAGTCATTCGCTCTATGGATCCAATCAGTACTCCCTTATCCCTTTGGCGAGTGAAACATTACCTGATAAGTCATTATGACGCTAGTTACATTACCAGGTTTGAGCAGTATAGCTCTTTTAGTTTTAGTTTTAGTAAGGCTTTTATGGCACTTGCAACACAATAAGGTCATATAAGTGGCGAAGATTAGAGGTGTTACAAGAGAGTAACAAACACGAAAAAGAAGGAGGAGAGATAAAGACGATAGGCGTTTGATAGGAAAGAAGAAGCAAACCACACCAGAGCACCCGCCAACCACCCACTTATAGCTCTGTGAGTGCGGGTGATTTATACATTAATACATTAGATATATATTCATTCAGTTATTTTTTATCATTTAATATTTAATCAATACACTTTACTTTATTTTTACGTTCGCACCACTACTTTAAAAGCTTTTGAGATTGTTATGACATCTACAACTAGATACTTATTCTGAAATTTTGGTTTATAGTCATTTATTTACTCATCTAAGCCCTTATTTGTTTGTTTCCTTTCTTATTTATTTGATTACCTAATCAATGTACTTCGTTATTAGTTTCACGTGCTTACAAGTTCTTTTAGAGTATTTTTTAGCAATTATGAATGGTTTTACGACTCTGGGTTCGTATCATTGTTAGGGGTTTTTTTCAATGGTTTTTCCAGCAAATTTGTAACTAACTGTTTTTCAGTTACATAAGTGTTTCAAGTTTCATGGGCAATATTTTTAAAGTTTCTATATGGATATTCTGAAGTTAGAAAACAGATATATTGAGTGAAGTTCGAGTCACTAATTCATGTACAGATATTAAAATTTATTTATCACATTATTTTATTAATTTCGCATGTCAGTCAGTACGTTAAACGTTTTATTCAGTTAATACGACGCCCGAGAACAGTTTGCGCATTGCAGGGGGTAAGGCGTAGGGCATAGGGCGTAGGTATGGTTCCAAGAAATTTGTATCTCTAGTTATCTATTTGATTATTCATTTTTTTTTTCCGGTATCAACTGTAATTTTTATCAGTTTTTCATCAATCTGTTTTATCTGCTTATCGATGCTTTAAATGTTTATCTATTTATCAACTTCTTAGTTAAATTAGTTTATCAACTTGCTCATTTATTTGCGCATTTATTTGCGTATCAGTGTATCGTTCCTACGTCTCCAAATAGCGCTTTGGTTTTCTTGCTGTTGTTTTTTTTTAAAACCCATTAATTTTTTTAAAAATTCCATTTGCTTTTTCTGTTTTCTTTAAGTTTTCTGTACGTGTTATATTGCATTTCTTCACATGTTCCACTAATTAAGTTTAGGAAAGAGAGAGAGAGAGAGAGAGAGAGAGAGAGAGAGAGAGAGAGAGAGAGAGGGGGGGGAGAAGGAGTCAGAGAGAGACAGAGAGAAAGATAGAGACTAAGAGAAACAGAGAAAAAGAGAGAAAAAGAGAAAGAGAGAGGGGGAGCGGGAGCGACAGAAAGAGAAAGAGGGAACGACAGAGAGGGAAAGAAAGACAGAGAAAAAGAAACAGAGAGAGAAAGGACAAAGTAATTAGACTCAGAGAGACCGAGAGAAAAAAGAGACAACGATAGAGAGAGACAGAGAGAGTGAGAGAGATAGAGAGAGGGAGGAGAGAGAGGAGGAGAGAGGGGGGAGAGAGGGAGAGAGAGAACGAGAGAGATACAGAGAGAGAGACAGGGAGGGATAGATACAGACATAGACTCAGAGAGAGAGAGAGAGAGAGAGAGAGAGAGAGAGAGAGAGAGAGAGAGCTACAGCAACCAATTCCTTTAATTCAAACAGATTGTCATCATTATTGAGCAAGACTCATATCTATAGCAATTTTTAATAAAGCATTCTCATTATACAGTGGCGTCCAATAGAAACCTGAAAATGTAATCACCCAATCAACATGTTAAAGTAATGCACTACCCACTCATGCAGCATGCCAATTTAAAGCTAAATAAAACCTACATCACCTGACTGATTAATATTTGATCTATGTTTAGAGACGCCCGAGATAATGGTCACTCAAAATTTAGCTTAAAAAATCAGGCTTGGCAAAATATCGTCATAGCATGACACGACGTGTTGCATTTTATGTACGTATCAAAGTTTTTTTCATTTTAAAATAATGCCCTAGCAAATGAATACTTACTCTACTGTACGCTTGTCTGATTGCATTTAATGACTATAGTTGTTTACTCTGAACAAAGCAACATTCAAAGATAAACTTTTTCAAATGTAAAAGTATATTAATAGGGTAATGGGTAGCTTTGTGAAAGTGGTACTATGAACTCACCCCTAAAAACCCGTTATTTTTTGCTAGAAAGCGGACAAACAATACTACACAAAAATCCTATTTCTGTTTAACGGTTTGATTCCAACTTACCGAAGATATCTTGAAAGGTTAGAGAATAATGTGATAGAGCTGCAATATAATGTCAGCAAAGGGTAGGTCTGTCTACTTTTATACATAAACACACACCAGAAACTATTGTGTTCCTACAGCTTTAATACCGAAAAAAACCCAAGTCATTTTCGTGGAGACAAATAATTCAGTAATTTAGCTATCATGTCCACAAGAGGGGGGTCTGCACACATGTTCTATGTAGTGACCCACTTAATTTTCCGCCTCGTCCTGCTTATTGCCAAAAGGTGTATGGTCTACATTTATTGTAAAAAAACAACAACCCAAAAAACCCACCTCACCCCCATAAAAACCCCACAACAACAATTACTAGCACAGCTGGCAAATATTCTTTGATGTGAGTGTACTTAACATCGTTTCAGATGATGTCAGCCATATTTGTGTTTTTAGAGCCATCTATTCCTCATTTTATACTTGAATTGCTGAGGTTGTTTTTAAAGCTCTTCAGGCCTCCTATTTATCCATCATTTACTGCTAAATTTTTATTTATACACGCATAAACGCACATGCACGCACACACACACACACACACACACACACACACACACACACACACACACACACTTGCACATGCACATCATGTAGAATTTATCGTCTTATAAATGCCAGCAAATGCAATGATGACACTGCTGCCAGAGTTCAAAACCTAAATGAATAGCGCAAACTACTGAAATTACCTGTTTAATTTTTTCCTGAGATAAAAAAATCTTATCTGTGTCGTCATAGTAACGGGTCGTTGGGACTGGGGGTCAGCCACATCCTCTTGGAAACAAACGTGTCTAGAAGCTGAACCGTCATTCAGATGACCACATGCGCTGTGCTGACGATCCAGACAATAGAAAGCCAACTTCAGCTTCTAGCTCCACATACCAGCAAGCTTTTCTTTTCTGTCCCGTGTCCTGATGTGGTGTCGAATATTGGTTAGTTAGTTATGCATAGATTTTTATTAATGTAGTAGTAATTTCTGTTAGAGTTAGCTTGTACATAATATAACAAAATAGACGTTTTTTAAAATAAAATAACGGGTTTGACGATTTACACTGACGACGACGACGATGATGATGATGATGATGATGATGATGATGATGATGATGATGATGATGATGATCATGATGATCATGATGATGATGATGATGCTGCTGCTGCTGCTGCTGCTGCTGCTGATGATGATGATGATGATGATGATGATGATGATGATGATGAACCAGCAAACTTACACTTTGGCACTACCTTTCCTGGAGTATGCAAATTCAAGTCCCGGGCACTGCCGTGCGAGTCAGCCTAATCAGTCGCAGATGTTTGAAATATAAAGGCATAGCAACTCTACGACATCTCCCCTTTCGATTTTAAAACGATTGTATTTACGGAGGGTATAGTCGACCGCATGATTGGTCCCTAAGGAGTCTTCCTTACGACAGTCATGAGACGACAAATGCAGTGCATGTTCCACATTATCCGCTCCTTATCCTCCTCCATGCCAGTACAAGACTCCCGAGCACCTTATTTTGCGAGGCCTGGGCCACACCGACAATGAAACCTCTCTTTTCCTTTGACAAACAGTATGGCGTGATACCGTCTGGCCGTGCTTGGTGGGGTGCGAACGATCATAGCTATGCTATTTCAAGGATCCGTTGAAGCTTATGATTTGAGCCTTTGATTACACAGGTTTTTTTGGGTTTTTTAAACAAAAAATAATTCTGCCTAGTAATATCGCCGATTCTACGCTTCAAAGTGTGCTAAGGTTAAAGTAGTAGAAATGTTTCTTCATCGTAGTATTAAAAAAAGTGCAGAGGTTCGTTTCATTTGGATCGTATATGGGGTTCTCAGGAGCCAAAAGCAATGATGCATTGGAAAGCATCTCATAAAGGTGGGACACTGAACTCAACACTCAAATCCCCCTAATCCATGTCAAAATACGCGATATGCCCCCCCCCCCCAAAAAAAAATAATAATGAATTTTAAAAAAATAAAAATATATATATAAAATAAATAAATAAATAAATAAATAAATAAATAAATTTAAATTTAAATTTTTAAAAAAAATGATTTTTAAAAAATAAAAAAATTCAAACAATTCTTTTAATCCTCTCCTTCCCTCCCATCCCTACACTACTATTTGTCTCTTTGTTGCTTTATTTCTTTGTTTCTGTATCTCTTTATCTCCCTCTCCTCTCCCCTTCTAACCCCCCCTCCTTTCTCTCTCTCTCTCTCTCTCTCTCTCTCTCTTTCTCTCTTTCTCTCTGTCTCTCTCTCCTTACAAACACAGATAAACACACACAAAGTGGGTTACTGCAATAAATGTAAGATCATCCTCAAATAATATCTGAGTAGATCTGGACCCCTTTCCAATTTTCTATGCTACCTGGGTAATTTCTGGTGTCCCTTTCTGATCTGCTGTTGTTGGGGTGATACATTAAACAGTGATATTATCGATGCTTTTTAAAAAGTGGGAAAAGCTGCTTTTTTAAAACAACATTTTCAGCTTTAATAAGCCTGCCTGGGGATTGGGAGGGGGGGGTTATATATCTGTCTCTCTCTCTCTCTCTCTCTCTCTCTCTCTCTCTCTCTCTCTCTCTCTCTTTCTATATATATATATATATATATATATATAATACACATTTGTATATTTACACTTGTACTGTGGACAGATATTTATTTTCCATTTAATATTTTTGTTGTTGTCTATTTTATAGCAGATGGCTTGTATTTCTCTTTTGAGGTATTTTAGTTTACTCTCCAGAGTGATCTACACCTCTTTCTCCTGCTCTGTTAATAACTTGACAACAAAGAGGGCATGACACATATTATTTGCTAGCGACCTGAGACATCATACTATTTGGCCTCTATCCAAAGGAACGAAAGGACGACTTCGCGAAGGCTGAGAACACTCTGTGATTGAGCTGCAGCTTAAGTGAACCCTGCTTAATATTAGAGTTAGCAGTAATAAAAACAGTTATTGTTGTTGTTGTGCTGATGTTGTTGTTGCTGTTGTTGCTTCTGCTTTTGTTGCTGCTGCTGTTGTTGTTCTCCTCCTCCTCCTCTTCCTCCTCCTCTTCTTCTTCTTCTTCTTCTTCTTTTTCTTCTTCTTCTTCTTCTTCTTCTTCTTCTTCTTCTTCTTCTTCTTCTTCTTCATCGTCTTCTTGAATGTATTGCCCATGTAGAGAGAAAAATCAATAAACTTCGAAGAGGAAACTCTTCGTTCGTTGTATTTCAGTGTTCAGGGTGAGAAGAAAGGGTTCTTTCAAAAGTAGTAAAAAAAATCATTTCACTCACGAATTCCACCTTCAATTTCTAATTACGCCCTTGACTTAGTCGTAGCAGAATAATAACATGTCTGTTTCTGTCAGTAATTTACCTGAATAAATGTTAGAAAGAATAATACAAGTTGTCGGATTGTATACTGCTCTTCAAACACTGAGTAGGTCAGAAAGGTAATTTTGTATTTGATGAACCGTTAAGTATGTTATTATGTCAGTATCCTCCCACTTTGTGCAGGAAGTAATCTTGATCACCACCCCTTTGTCTATTCAGCTTTTTTAGCCTCCCGCAATGGTTTGTACTTCGACATTTTTCTGTTCTTCTCACTGGTGGGATAGATAGTAATGAAGCACCCGTATGTTTATTGAGAGTTAAATAGTTAGAATTGCTCCATTTACGAAGCTAGCTATCTCCTTCTCAGTACAGTGTAACATTAATAGTAATATGCTTTCAAAGAAGGTGTTTTTACGTCCCCATCAAGAACATTTAGATAATGTATATTATGCGTTGAAATAGCGAAAGTACAGTCTATGACTTTGCTATTTCCTTTTTTGTATAATTGAGTTAGATCTATTCTTCCTGCCGTCACTTTTGAAGTTTGTCTACAATGCTGGGGTCTAAAACTTCAATCACTTTCGATATTCCATGATGGTAGCAGAGTCTGACTCGCATTGTGGGAAAGAAGAAGAGCTTGAAGATATCTGTAGAATGGGGAAAAAAAAGAAAGATCAAGACGCTTACTACTACTTTGTCACCAACATTTATTATTGTCGATAGAAGCGCACACAGCCTATTTCGGCCAATATGTCTTGCCTGAAACGCTATGAAATGTCTATGTGTGGGTCAGAAACGAACTCTGGCTTGGCCAGCCTCTTTAGTTTCAGGCAGGCTTGTACTTGGCCATGAATCCCTCTTTGAAGCAGGTCTGTTGGCATGAATCGTCCGCTTGACATTTGGGGTGGCATGCGTCGAAAACTTCCTGGAAATGTTCGTGGCAGGCATCCTGGCAGGGTTTGACCAGGTCAAAGCAGGCCTGGGGATGCGGAAGTAATGGTGGTAGTAAATAGCTGTAATAATTTGTGGTGGTGGGATTGATGGCGAGGATGCTTATGATTTTGGGACCATTCAGAATGTTTATTAGTATTCCGTTCGGTAGCATTCTCCCTAATACGTTCAAGATCTGCGACACACATCGGTGATCATGGTTCTTTATTCATAGTCTTTGCTCAGATGCTCTACACCCCCCCCCCCCAAATTATCCTGATATTTCCCTGTCTCCCATCTGTCGACTACTATGTGTACTCGTAAGGTTATTGTATATGAGATAAAGAATGATATTTACTTCAAAGCGTTCAATGTAACTTGCTTGTATTATAGTCCATGTTCGTACTTGTTGTGGTTGTATGAGTGCAAATGAACTTTATAACATCGCTGCCATTGTTTACAGCCGAGACATCTCTCTCTCTCTCTCTCTCTCTCTCTCTCTCTCTCTCTCTCTCTCTCTCTCTCTCTCCCACTCTCACTCTCTCTCCCTCTCTCGCTCTTTCTTTCTATCTCTCTCTCTTATTCCCCCCCTCTCTCTCTCTGTCTCTGGCGTACACACACACACACACACACACACACACACACACACACACACACACACACACACACACACACACACACACACACACACACACACACACACACTCTCTCTCTCTCTCTCTCTCTCTCTCTCTCTCTTTCTCTCTATGGGAGAAGAAATAGAAATGTCATTTGTGTTATAATTGCAGGTTTTCACATTTTCGGGTGAATATTGTGGTAGACTCACACCTCCCTATATTGATTTGGAGAGTGAGAGAGATGTGTTTTATATATATATATATATATATATATATATATATATATATATATATAATATAGAAAGAAACAGAGAGCTAGAGAGAGAGAGCTAGAGAGAGAGAGAGAGAGAGAGAGAGAGAGAGAGAGAGAGAGAGAGAGAGAGAGAGAGAGAGAGAGAGAGAGAGAGAGAGAGAGAGAGAGCGAGTGGGGAGGAAAAAGCAATGACAACAAAGAGGGAGATAGTTGACTGTTCATCATTGATGATAATATACGACCGAGATAAGACAGTTTCCAATAGAAAAAAGTTATCCTGAGAAACTCAAACCCCTGAAGCTTGTTATATCAATAATTGTACAGCCATTGACATTTTGCCGGAGAATGGTAAACCTGAAGGCAATTTGCACATTTCTATTACCCCTTGGACCCTCGATTGCACTCCAAAATATTTGAAAGCTATTAATGAGCTGTTTTCTCGGCTGAAATATCCAACAGCAACGGTAGGAGCTCTCAATTCATATTGTGTGAGCCACAATTTTTATGCATAACGTTTTCTTTTTCTTAAAACTCTCGAGAAGAATTGTATGAAGCTCGTTCTTTTAACAGAGTTAGCACTTCCAGTTTCCGAATAGAAATGAGGTAGATGTTAGGAGTTTTAGAAACAGCGGCCCAGAAGATAAATAATTCTCCGAGAAAAGAGGAAGAATAGTAATACAATTGTTTGTTGCGGTTAATAAAGATTGCAGATGATCAGTTCAGTCCCCAGCTTCTCATAATATGTTACATCAAATCTTGGATCTAATAACGGCATAGGTTACAGTCAAATAACATATATATTTTATAACTTTTAATGAATGTTCTCCTATTCTGTTTCTTCTAAAGTTGCGACTGTGACCTCATTAACGGAAGAACTTAAGAAGCTTTTTTTAAGGAATGAAAACTGATATTTGGGGAATTCGACGCCCCAAAAAGAAGAGAATAAGGGAGGGAGGGGGGAAAAAGTTTATGAAAGCAGGGAAGGGAAATTAGGTTTGACCAAATGTCATTCTCTACAATGCACGAAATCAGCTGATTTAACCTGATTCTCCCCCCCCCCCCCGACCCTTCTTCCATTCCCAACCACCTACTCATCCCCTGCCAGAAAAAGAAAGCAAAAAAAACCCCCCCACAAACGAACAGATAAACAAAAATCTTAAAGGAAATAAGACGAAAGACAAAAACTTTAGCAAAATATTCATGAATGTAATTAAGAAAATGAGTGAAATAAAACTACATACACAAGTAATACGGACGTATGAATCGTGATACACAAACGAATGTATAACCAATTGAATAATTTTGTAAAATGCTCTATGAACACCTTTATTGAGGGCATAACGGGTATACTCCGAATGTAATAATATGAAAGGTTTCCAATAATTTTGCCAAGAATTTAGGTATCCCTTAAGTGGTCAAGAACTCTTTATTTGCAAGTTCTGCTAGGAAAGGGCACACAGTCCTAGTGATTTCTGAGAAGATAAGGAAATGGGTGTTATAAAAGTTTAAGGATGGTAGGACAAAAATTCGGGAAGAATCAAAACTTAATGAGGACTGCGCATGTCTAAGTGACAACCACACCCTTCCGATCTCATGCTGTCAAAACTCAATATTTATTTTACTCGTCTGCCTTGTGGGTAAAACAATGAAAACATTGAAGGAGAAGTCAAATCTGCAACCCTCTGGATGCACTTTTATTCATGTTTGACCTAATCATAGAAAGAAATTTGGAAATATTATTCAAAAGTAAGCACACTAATTTCTTGTGCTTGTTGTCGGCTTGGTCCTCTCGAAGACAGAATATAAGTGAAGACCAGTTGGAAAAAAACAAAAAACAAAAAAAAACCCAAGAGATAAGTCACGTTTTAAGAAACTGGACTAAAAGGAAGATTCAAAATTTGAAAGTCTGTACCTCATGGTTAGAACTAGTCTTGCGGTGGTTTTTCAAAATCCTTACACAGCACAGGATATAGCTCTGGTCCGTGGGTTTATTCGGGGGAGAGGAAAGTTCGATTTTCGTAGTATACAACAAAAGATAAAAACTCCTTAAAATTTTTTTAATGGGATTTATCGTTCTTTTTTCTCCGCTGGAGTATTCTTATTATTCATCGGTAATAAACCACGGTCGCTGGCACAAGGATCTGGGGGGCACAAAACCACGTTGCATAATACATTTTGGCGGAATTGTGTCTCTCTACTGTGACTGATCTCACACAGCCAAAGTGAGTCCTAACAGGCGGAACTGAAGCACTTTTAAACAAAAGAAAACGTGAAACTTAAGTGTGAGGTTTTTGTCAAGTAGAACTGTTAAACTTTGTTCATGGCTTTAAACAAATATGTGAAGAGAAAGCAAATAAATGATGTCCTTTATTTGTTCATAACCCATCGAGCGGAAATATTTTGGATTCCGGCGTGAGTACATATTGTTGTTTATTAAGGAATTTAATAATAGCAATCTGCGACTTCAGATGCATCACATATCGACTTCCGTACTCATGCATCATAAGAATAAATGCACTAGACACTTGTATGTGACTTGTGTTTGGGTGGAGTGGTTAAAGTATTTGCCAATTCATGCATAAGATATGTCAATTTCTATGGAGGGAAGGATCTTTTTTGACTATCTCCTTCTCTTTGATTAGATAAAATCACACACAGAGCAGACTAACCTTGACAGGGAGAGTCAAAGCAGCCTACCAGTAAAATAATCTAAGTTTTGTTAACGAGTGCTTGAACCTTACAATCTACAATCAGTCAGTCAATCAGTCAATCAGCCGATATTTAATTGGAGCGATGAGCGTTGCTTATTATGCTGACTTACTCGTTAACACACAACCCAGCAGTCCTCCAGCAGTTATGCCAGGATCGGGATGGAGTTCCCAGTGGTACCAGTTGTGAGAGGCAAACGGGTGCCGAGGTCCCGCGCTGATTAAGCCTAATATGAGCACTCGAGCATATATCGGGTATTTATGTATATGCTGATTGTGCTAGTTAACCAGACTGCACTTGAGCTTATATGGAGTATATACTGATTATGTCTGATATGAGCACTCGAGCATATATTGGGTGTATACTGGTTATGATAGAAATTAGATATATTTTGACTGTGCCTGATATCAACCTTTGAACATGTGCTGGGTATAATATACTCACAGACAAACAGTCCTCAAAATCATCAGAGTACGCAAAGCTGGTCGAAGTGCACTTTTGCTGACACTTGAACTCCTGGAATTCAAAGCCCTCACAGGCGAGGTTACAGAAAAAGTCAGTGGGCTCACTGTGCATGGACATCCCTATAGCCACCAGCGCTGATAGAACTACGACTAGCTTCAGCATTCTTCTGTTGTATTTGGCCAGCTATATTGGGGAGTGATGATCTGTTCGGAACAGACAAAAATGAAAATAAAACAAAAGGAGTAAGATATTTAAATTAATTTCATTTCTGAGTAGTGTGTTTAGACGGAATTGATTCTAAAAACATTCCAAAGAGTGGATAAGAAATGGTGAGTGGGCAAAAGGGGCAGACGAAAAGAAGTGGAACATAGAAAGGAAATTATGTCAGGTCTATTGAGATAGACATTGGTAGTCGTATTGTCACGTAATTGTAGCGAGCATTACAAAAAACATAATTTTCAGGCTGTTCTCGACGAGCCACAACTTTAGGTAATTCTATGCCATTTACAAAACACCATCTATTTTGGAGACCTTTTTAGAAATCCTCAACGTTTGCAATACATTCATGTTTGTTTCAGCTCTCTTTGAACTTGACTAAATTCCTTCAAGCAGTTGAAATAATGCAATTTTTTTACAGCACGTAATTAAATAATGTGACAGGCATAATTATTTTAACGTTAGAATTTTATTTATTTCTTAATCTGAGGAATTTAACAAAATTGAAAAAAAAAAACAACAACCGCTGCTGTAAGTCTGTGATATCGTACAAATATTTACGACACACATCATCACTGAATCACTTCGTTTAGTTTCGTCGAGGTTATAGCTTTTACGCTGGCAAAACTATCTCGACTACAATTCTTGATGACGTTGTTATGAGTGCACTGAGAAAACCAAGAAATACAGAGAAATATTATTGTCTCTCAAAGATAAATCATTGTTGCTTTATTCTTTATTACAATTAAGAACGTGTCTAAATCATCATCTGTAACCAACAAACAACTTAGTCTTTTTGAAGAACAGATTTTATTCTCACTGTACATGGTTATTTTGGAATACATGTATATGAGTATCAAGAAAGAATTTTAATTTACCTTATTTGAAGCAAATGCAACTGGCTGCTCACAGATTCCTGCTTCGACTGAGAGTTCTGTTCTAATTCAGGGAAATTATGCTCTTTAAAAGCAATAAGATCTCTCCCCCATCCGAAATGATGACTGTTTATTTTACACTAACCATTGCAGGGAAGCAGGTGTTGATGCGGTATAATAATGCACGCACCGCAGTGGAACACCGATACGCATAATCGTTATCAAGCACCTGCTTTTTTACCTGCAGGTTTTGCATAGGAACCAGCGGGTGTTGGCAGATGACATGGAAGCAATAACAATGTAAATGAGGCTGCAAAAAGTCTTCTTTTAGAGTACATATTATTCAAGGCATTTACGATAATCTGATAATTAAGATTTCAGACTGTGATTTTCTGTACCTTCTCTCACCACCTCTCCCCCCCCCCCCCCCCCCAAACCCCCCGCCACACCAGAGAACCCACACCAAACATCAACAGCTGTCTGTAAAGTGTGTTGGGGTTTTACATCTTCTGTCACATGCACAAAACACGTGAACACACAAACACACACAAACACACACACACACACACACACACACACACACACACACACACACACACACACCCGCGCTCACTCACACACAGACACACACACGCCCATACGTATGCACTCTCGCACGCACACGTACTCAATATTCACATACGTATTTTAATATGTTCAAACTTTCTCTCTCTCTCTCTCTCTCTCTCTCTCTCTCTCTCTCTTTCTTTTTCTTATCGTCTACAAACTCCAGCTACTTTGCAGGATTGTTGAGGTGTACTTGTCAAACTTAACGAGTACAGCAAGAACAATTTATCAGGACGAACATATTATTTTGCAAGCTTATGAAAGGAAACATTCATCTCGGTAGACAGCGCTAACATTAGGGAAATCAGATTTTCAGCCGTGTTGCACTATTATGTCCATGTCACAGGTATTTTATGTAGTGAGGTTTTGTAAACCACGTCATTTTGGTACTTTTAGACAAAATTTTTGTCTTTGTAATTTTGAAACTCGTTGTTCATAACCCCTTTCCCTCCGAGATAAATAAATAACTCAACAATACATAAAAAAGCAAAGGACACAGAAAGACAGAATGCAAGCATAATGTTAAAAATGATATCATAATTTTGAAACGTAAGGATACAGATCCTTACTTCTCAATACACGTTACAGAGAAAAGATTTGGCCGAGCTATTGGAAAAAACATGGTGACATGATTCCATAATATGATATGCTACAATCTTAATACGGGGTGCCCACAACGGCTGGATCGGGCCGATCGCTCGACTCGATCACCTGAAACTGAAAACAAACACGTTTGCTTTTGAGGCGATCGAGTCGGGCGATCGGCCCGATCGGCCGATCCCATTCGTAGTGGGCACCCCCTATAAATTTCAAGTGGTTAGGCTACCGGACTCGTTATCGTGAGGTTGCGGGTTCGGGGGTTCGAGCCGCGGGCCCGACGTTGTGTCCTTGGGAAAGGCACTTTACACACATTTTCCTCACTTCACCCAGGTGGGAAAGGGTACCCAGCCATAGACAGCGAAAGATCTTATCAGTATATTAGTGTTTTTTGCGCCTATAAATGGCCGCTTGCACTGTATGCTTCCTAGGAAGTTGAGGTTGTTTCAGGATGCTCTCAGGTCAGCAGCTTCTGGGGTAATAGTATAGATTGTGAAGCGCATAGAGCTTGCTGTTGAGCTGGGATTTGCGCTATACAAATGCTATCTATCTATTATTATTAAGCAACAGGGCAAAAATCTGAGGTATAAAGGCTAATTAGACACACTCCAGTAGTTGTCTCCGAAGGTTTCATAGACTGCTCGGACACTGCATCTATGGTGATATGAAGAGGAAAGACAAATAACACGGTGAGGCAAGAACAACAATTGTAGTGTGCAGGATATGGCTCTTAAACTAGAACCACATGGGGGCCTCTGGAAATAGAATTTATGCGAGCTTGGACCACATCAAGTACATGTATTCCACAAAAAAGTTTCCAGTACTTTTTAAAATACAACTAAACTATTCGTTTTAATCAGTATTAATAACAGTTCTGAACATGAACAGGTTTACGGTATTCCAAGAGCTATCAAAAATATTTAAAATTCCATGGCAACACTCGGAAATTGTGTATGTGAGTGTGTATGTGTGTGTGTGTG